ATCATCTGCATAGCTCAGGTTGTTAATTAGTCTTCCTCCAATCCTGATGCCACACGCTTCCTCATACAATCCAGCTTCTGAAATTATTTCCTCAGCATACACAGTGAATAAATATGATGAACGAATACAATCCTGGCACACACATTTTCCTGATTTTGTCATTTGCATTTCTTTTATTTATCACCCAGTAAAGCCTATCTAGGAAATAATCTATGTTTCAGAAATTCCTTTTGCCACTTAACATAAACATTTATATAAATTTTTATTTAGCATTCAGAGAAAACTGTTCTTGTTGTTATTAAGTGCCACTGAGTCACTTCTGACCCACAGTGACCCTGTATAGGGCTTTCAAGGAGCAGCTGGTGAGCTTAAACTGCCGACCTTGTCGTTCAAATTGACTTTGCAGTTCAGTGCATTAACCCACTAGGACTCCTCATTGAGAACTAAGTGAGGCAAATTCAAAGCGTAGCTACGGAGAAAAGATGAAAGCTTACGAAATACATCAGAGTTTGTCAAACACTTCAAATAACAGTAATTCCTAAAAGCAGAAGCATCTATTAACTCCAATATTAGGTAACAGAAAAAAAAATATCATTATAGATAATCTTCTAACTGTTAAATGTTGACAAGTATTAGTTATACTGCACATAAATTAAGCCCCACTTAAGCAAAATATAGTCTAACAGCAAAGTACACACTTTTGACATGATTAATTTCTCATTCAGAGAATTTTGGGTGGGTTTAAAATAAGTATCCAAATGAATTAGAAATATCTTACCTTTGTTTACTGTTTGCATCAGCTAATTCAACTTTGTAAGGCACAACATTTCCTGGTTCCTCAAATTCCTCTTCATAAGTCTTATTAAAATATAGTATATAATATTAATAAGGTAAAAACTTACTATACATTAATCAAATAACCTAGGGATGCTACTTAGTATATTTTCTGACTATGAATTATTTCATGATGTCTCCATTTATATGCCAAAGAAACTGTGAGTTCTATGGGAACTAAAGAAATTCAACAAATATTTGTAGAGGGCTTTTCTGTGTCAGTCGCTTTATTATTACACCATGCCCAGAAACAACAATGATAACTTATATTTTATAATGCACTTACTAAGTACCATGTCCACAACCCATCTATCAGTTTGTCTTATTGTAGTTGCTTGCATGTTGCTATAATCCCGGAAGCTATGACAATGATATTTAAATACCAGCAGGGTTATTCAGGATAGATAGATTTCAGCACAGATAATAGACTAAGACAGACTAGGTAGCAGAGGATTTCTGAATAGTTAACCACTGAAATTTTTATGAACAGCACTGAAATATCCAATATATTGTCAAAAGATGAGATTCTCAGGTTAGAAGGCACTCAAAATACATCTAGGTAAAAATGGGCTCCTCAAAATAGAATTGACCTTAACAATACAGATGGTACTAAGCTTCAGAGACCTACATTTGCTGATGAGGCAAAACTTAAAATGAGAAAGAAAAACTGCAAATATTTACTAATAAACAGAAGGTGGAATGTATGTAGTATGATCGAGGAAAATTGGAATTAGTCAAAAATGAAATAGAAAACACAAAGATCAATATCCTAAGCATTAGTGAATCCTGATATGCTGTTGTAAAGCAAGCACTGGACTGCTAACTGCAAAGTTGATGGTTTAGACTCACCAGACATTCCTCAAAAACCCTATATGCTATGAGTCGAAACTTCCTTGACAACACTAACAAAAACAGTGAGCTGAAATGGATAGATAATTGGCCATTCTGAATCACACAATCATGTTTTACTATGTTGGGGGGAAAAAATTGAAGAGCAGTTGCTTTGCATTCATTGTGAAAAAGGTCATTTTGAGATCTTGAAGTGCATAAAGGCTAATATCCATATGCCTACAAGGAAGACCACAACGTTATCTACAGTTATGATTTTTAGTCAAAAGCCTTTGTATGATCAGTAAAGCACAGGTAGGCATCTATCCGGTATTCACTGTTGGCAGTCTTTTCGAACAGAAAAAGGGATGCTGAATGGTTTAAAATCAGGAAATAAGTGCTCTGAGGATGTATTCTTTCACCATACTTGTTCAATCTGTACACTGAACAAATAATCTGGGAATCTGGATTATATGAATAAAAGATTGGAGGAAGACTCATTCACAATTTATGATATGCAGATGATACAACCTTTCTTGCTGAAAGTGAAGAGGATTTAAAATACTTACTGATAAGGATCAAAGACCACAGCTTTCAGTATGGGTCACACTGCAATATAAAGAAAACCAAAATACTCACAACTGAACCAATAAATAACATCATGATAAATCGAGAGAAGATTGGAGTTGTCAAGGACTTCATTTTACTTGGATCCACCATTCACACTCCTGGAAACAGCAGTCAAGAAATCAAATGACGTATTGCATTAGGCAAATCTGCTGCATAAGACTTCTTTATAAAGCGTTGAAGAGTAAAGATGTCAGTTTGAGGGAAAAGGTGTGCCTGACTCAAACCATGGTATTTTCAATAGCCTCATAAGCATGTGAAAGTTGGACAATGAATAAGAAAGACTGTAGAAGAGTTGATGTATTTGAGCTATGGTGTTGCAGAATAATTTTCAGAGTACTGTGGATTGCTAGAAGCAAATCTGTTTTGAAAGAAGTACAGCCAGATGCTCCTTAGAAGCCCAAGATGGCCAGACTTCATCTCTCATACTTCATACATGTTGTCAGGAGGGACCAGTCCCTGGATAAGGACATCATGCTTGGTAAACAGGAGGGCCAATAAAAGGAAGTTCCCCAAAGAGATGGCTTGACACAGGGGCAGGAACAATGAGCTGAAGAGCAACAACAATTGTAAGGATGGCACACAACCAGGCAGTGTTTCCTTCTGTTGTGCATAAGGTTTTGATGAATCAGACCCAATTCAATGGTACCTAACAACAGCAACATAATATTAATTATTTAAATATGGCTTTATGCCTTTAATTAAGTAGACTTAGCTTCTAAATTACTTTCTGAGTTACAAATCGTATTTGTTGTTTTTAAGTGCCATCAAGTCAGTTTTGACTCATAGCCACCCTGTATAGGGTTTCTGAGGAGTGACTGGTGAGTTTGAACTGCAGATCTTGGTGTTCAAATTAACTTTGAGGTACAGTGCTTATCCTACAGTGCTACACTAGGACTTCATCTAATCATGCTTCATTTCCTAGAACTCTCTCACTGTTGTTGTAGCAGACATAATTTAGGCTAGCTAAACTACCTATCTTAACTATTATTCTCTGTTTAGGTTGATATCTAGTATTTGGGCTTTTTTTGTTTTGTTTTGTTTCTTTTTTTGAGGGGTGGGGTGAAACTTAGAAATTTCTTTTCAAATTTCTTTTGTTGCTTTTGTTGAAAATATACACAGCAAAACATACTCCACAGTTTCTACATTCAGAGGCACTGGCTACATTTGAGCTGTGCAACCATTCTCACCCTCCTTTTCTGGGTTGTTTCTCTCACATGAACTTAGCTTATTTGCCCCATGAGTTTCCATGTAACATTTTGATTAGCTATTTCCAATTTGACCCCATATAGATTGATCTTGAAATTGCATAATGTTACTTAGAAACATTAAATACTGGTGTGACGCTGTGAGATAAAGCACTAGATCGCAAGGTCAGTTTGAACTACAAGGTCGCTGGTTCAATCTCACCAGCCTTGGAAATTCTATACAGAGTTGCTTTGAGTTGGAACTAATTCGACTGCATTAAACAGCAAACTAGTTAAGCCAAACTGCTTCTTAATTTTAAGACTTCAAGAGGTATTTTTGGTTTAAGGTTTAAAGATTATGTCAGGGCAGCTTCTTTATTTTTCCTTTGGCCTAATTTGATCTATTGGGCTAATAAACATACACACACTGTTGTTGTTATTAAGTACCATTGAGTTGTTTCCAACTCAACGACTCTGTATAGGGTTACCAAGAAGCAGTTAGTAGTTTGGAACCACTGACCTTTTAGTTAGCAATTCAGTCTTTATCCTAAAGTGCCACATCAGGACTCCAAAATATATACATACTTACACACTAATAAATATGTGTCCGCATTGTTGCTGTTAAGTGCCCTTAAGTAAGTTCTGACTCACAGCGACCATGTATAGGGTTTCCAAGGAGTGGCTGGTGGGTTTGAACTACAAGCTTTGTGGTTATTCATTAAAATATTGATACAGTAAACTTATTCCAGTCAAAGAATTTAAAATATCTTCATCACTGATCTACTTGGCCCTTGTTAGATGCTATCTAGTCAGTTCCTACTCACAGCAACCCTGTGACAAACAGAACAAAACGCTGCCCAGTTCTGTACCATCCTTACAATTATTATTAGGTTTGAACTCATTGTTGCTGGCACCATGTCAATTTATCTCATAGGAAGTCTTCCTATTCATCACTGACCTTCAACTTTTACAAGCATGTCTCCTTCACCAAAGACTGCTCCCTTCTGACAACATGTCCAAAGTTGCTGTTGTTACTAGGGGCCATCAAGTTGGTTCTGACCCACAGTGACCCTATGTACAACAGAACTTCTACATGCATATGAGTCTGATGAAAATATCATGGCTTGGGTCAGGTACACCTTAGTCCTCAAATTGGCATCTTTGCTCGTGAACCTTTTAAGGAGGTCTTTTGCAGATTGTTGCAATACAGCATTTGATTTCTTGACTGCTGCCTCCATAAGTGTTGATTGTGAATTCAAGTGAAATGAAGTCATTGATAACTTCAATCTTTACTCTGTTTATCTTGATGCTATTTATTAATCCAATTGTGGTGATTTCTGTTTTCTTTTACATTAAGATGCAATTGATCCTGAAGGCTGTATTCTTTGATCTTCATCAGTAAGTATGTCAAGTCCAATTCACTTTCAGCAAGCAAGACTGTGTTATTTTCATATTGCAGATTGTTATTGAGTCTTTCTTCAATCCTAATACCACATTTCTCTTCCTATAATCTAGATTTTAAGATTCTTTCTTCAGCATACAGATGGAATAACTACAACCCTGGAACACAGCTTTCTTGATTTTAAACACATTCAATATATTCTTGTTCTGTTCAAACAACTGTCTCTTGGTCTATGTCTAGGTTCCTCATGAGCACAATCAAGTGTTTTGGAATACATATTCTTCACAAAGTTATCATAGTTTTTGATTTACACATTTGAATGCCTTTGCATAATTAATAAAGCACAAGTAGACATCCTTCTAGTGTTTTCTGCTTTCAGGCAAGGTCCATCTGACCTTTAGAAGATTTAGATTTAGAAGAGAATAGGGATAACCCTTGCTCCCTCTTCTCTTCCAAATCTGGCTTGAATTTCTGGCCATTCCCTGTCCATGTACTTGTTGCAACC